GAGAGAAGAGAGAGAGAGAGAGAAGAGAGAGAGAGAGAAGAGAGAGAGAAGAGAGAGAGAGAAGAGAGAGAGAGAAGAGAGAGAGAGAGAAGAGAGAGAGAGAGATACAGCTTGTGCCATTTATGAATTCTTACAGCTGTTTTGTAGGGTTGTATTAGTACATATATGGCTGTGTTATATTGCACTCGTGAGATAATGTGTGTGAGCTTTATGTCGTGTGTATGTGCGGCTTGTTGCGTTGCATATGGATTGTCTTGTCAGTGGTGTTTGTGTGGGTTCCTTGTTGGTTTTCTGTATTTGTGTGTGGGAGATACTTCTTGCGCAGCTGTGTGTGATCAGAAATACTAATGGGATATACACGAATAAACACTGCCATGCATCGATCTAATGCACACTGTCACAGCCCACAGTTACATATTGCGAGAATAGCGCACACACACACAATTCAAGCAATCACACTGCCAAACACACATACTGTCAGAAACACACACTACTATGACCACACATTGACAATGCTGTTATATCTAGGAACCCTCTTTGTTTTCATATTTAGCAGCAGGAGGGTGGCGTTCCTGAGGTCCAGTGGGGACCAGGTTGACCATGCACAGTGCAAAGTGCTTCAGCTCATTTCACCTTCTCAAATGCTGGAAGGAAGATCTTTCTCCCAATTCACTACCATGAGTGAATTCAGGTTGCTCTTTATGGTCCAATGAAGTCCCACTTCTCAAGAGATGATCTGTGGAACTCAACAGCCCTGTTCATGGCAAGGCTGCTGGACCCAGAAGGACATTGCAAACCATAGGTTACCTATTGCTGTGCTAAGATATCTCACCACTGTACTGCTGAGTAACACATCCTGTAAGATGTAACATGTATAAACTAGTGCTATACTGATAATACACCCCAAAATGTACTGGAGTCTTATACTTTTTCGGGTGACATGATTTCATGCATGTTGAATAAGTGCTCTGCACTTTATATCGTACAAATGGAACTTGAAACTGCAAAAATGACTGCTTGATACTAGACCAAAATCTCATATGAAAACTATGACTTAGGGCTACAGATCTTAAGAGCTTATATTTACAAATGGTTAGGTGCAGGTCTGTCAATTTAAAAGCAGTGTAATATATTATCACATTCCATCCATCTTTAATTGCCCCTTAGGGCTTAAAGGGACACACTAAGCACCAGAACCTCTACATCTTAATGTAGTGGTTCTGGTGCCTGTTAAAAGGTAGTCTTTTACATTGCTTTCTAGGGCCACCTCTAGTGGCTGTCATTTAGACAGCCGCAAAAAGCTGGTGCGGTCCTGCAAGCTCTGCATGACTGACTTTTGGCCTCTTTGCACTCTAAGAAAAAAAAAAAATAATAATGCTCCCCATAGAGATGCACACAGAGTCAAAGCCACAAGTGCAACAATAGCTGTGCCAAAACAGCATTTTCTCACACACTAACCCCCCAATGCATTTTTAAAGGGAAACTGTAGGCACCCAGACCAAGTCAGCTTATTGAGGTGGTCTGGGTGCTGTGTCCCTTTTGCACCTAGTGCTGCAGTGTAAAACATTGCAGTTCCAGAGAACTGCAATGTTTACATTGCAGCACTAAGTCTGCCCTAAGTGGCTGTCTACCAGTCACTGGAGGCGTTTCCGGAAACGTAACCGACTTTTGGTCCATTATCGGACGCTGGACGTCCTCACGCTCTGCATGAGGACCTCCAGTGTCAGATTTTTTTCCTCATAGGAAAGCATTGATTTAATGCTTTACTATGGGGAGGTCTAATACACGTGCAGCATTTGCTGTGCATGCACATTAGACCTGCTTTTCGTGGGACATCAGAGGGGGCCTAGCTTTGACCCAGTGCTGGCCGACATCAGCGCCGGGATAAGGAAAATAAAGAGTTTTTAACCCTATATTTACCCGGAAATGGGCACGAAGGAGGCAGAGGGATTGGTAGTGTCAGAAATACAGCTTTGTATTCCTGGCACTACAGTATCCCTCTAAGGTGAGGAGCGGTGACCATTGTGAGACCAGAGGACTAAAAGGTAAGTAAATTGCTTTACTGCAATGACTCGGGGGTAGGAACAACTCAATCTACACAGATAGGAAAACATTGACATTGGGAATACATGTTTGGGAGTGTTCCATGAAAATTTAGCACTGCTCCATACAGTCACCCGGAATCCATTTGAACAGAAAATAAATGTGTTTTGTATTTGTAAATATTTTATCATGACATTCTTTTTGGGTATTGACAGTAAACAAGGGTTTTATGTACTTTAACCCCTTAAGGACACATGACATGTCATGATTCCCTTTTATTCCAGAAGTTTGGTCCTTAAGTGGTTATATAAGTAGGAACTGGAGCATTTTTGTAGGAACTTGCTATTACAACATCTAGTGCTGGATAAAAGACCAGAATTTCACATGAAAACATCATAGGGACTCATTTCAAGAACCCTTGTGCTAGTTGGTAAAAGAAAATAGAATTCTGCAAATAAAACTGCAAAGTTGCTGAATGTTCTACATTCTACAAACGCTCCATAGAAATATTATATTAAAAACAACCACAACAATGACAACTGTAACAGTTTCAGATGGAATTTTAATATGCAGAGTTGTGATTGCATTATGTACATTATACCTGCAGTCCTTACCCCAACTTTTTTAAGGAGGTCGCCTACTATATTCAACGCAGATATCCGGGCAGATGGTGTAAGGGGAGTACCACTGTAGCCATCATCAAAACCTACAGCAAAGAGAAAAGCAGAGAATAACAAAATGGATTTGCTGTACAGTGAGACATAAAAAAAAAAAGAAAAAGAAAATGAAAGCACACAAATGATATATGCGCTGTCCTGACAATCTCATTTGTTTGTATATTCCAAGAAATAGGTGACAAACGTATATTTAGTATGATAAAATAAACAGGATCTTTTAATCATTTGTTAATACTTGTAATTCTAACCATATACCTGCCCTAACCTTACACTATCCCAAACTACAAAACAGCATTAACCCTAACTCAGTATTAACTCTTAACTTACCCCAACACTAAACCTTAACCCTTCCATAACACTATGGTAACCCGAACCCTAAGGAAACCATCAGCTAATATCAGTACGGATATCAGAGGATAGGTTTCCTAGTGAAAACAATAGAGTGGAATGTTGCCACCATTTGCGGATTGTTATCAGCATTACACTCTGATGCAATAACAAACAGGAGTATAACGAATGTGTGTTCAATATATAGATATACTAGGTTTATGTTATAATTGAGCAATTAATTTTTTTGCTTAAAGTAAAAAAAAAATCAAATCTATTAAAAAAAAATAAAAAAATAAAAAAAATCAGGAAGGTGCATAAATTCCTTTATGCATTCATCCAATAAGGGACAAAGATTTGTTTCCTTTCAATTTCGTTTTCATTTATCCTTGCGGCAGTCAACACCAATCAGCACCAATAAACCTTCATCCATCAAATCTACAATCATTAACAAAATTCTCCCTGTGCAATGTAAAGCCAATGACAAAACCACCACAAGAATGAATGAAAAAGAGAATTGATAACCATTTTTCCTCCTGGCGTCATTTGCAGCAAACAGAAACAGGATATAATATAATAAACAGGAGTAAAGCAAAGGGAGGGACTATTTTTTGACAACTGTTTGAGGAGCTTACCAACACAAAGATGCCTCTTTAGAAGATAGGGTGTCAAGCTAGTAAGATTGTGCCAATCCAAGAAGCCCCCCTTTTTTTATAATTTACACAGTAAAATTTCCAGTGAAAAACAATGAGTCTTACTTGTTCTATACAGCATTGGTGAACTCAGTCCAGAGATGCTTCCTCTGTGACCCACTGGTGTTGATGGTACAGACATAGAGGCTTGGACTGCGGTGTCAATTCTACCAGCATCAGGGCTGTCACCTATAATGGGTTTGGGCTTCTCCTTCTGTTGTACAGCCAGCTCCTGCCTTAAATCTAAAAAAAAATAAAAAAATAAAATGTATGGATAGCGATTTGTCAGGTCTGAACATAACATTGCACATGCACCAAAGAGCTACTGCTTTCAAACTTATGTTTTATTTTTAAAAATAAATTGTAATACAAAGATCCACTTAGTAATAAATACTGCTACTCATTTACCAGGTGGTGTGTTCAGTTGCAGGCCATAATTAGTACAGCCAGTGGCTAAGCATGGTTCTCTGGGGTCCGTACAAATTGCTATGTGCAAACCTGTTCATTAGCAGTAATATACAGCGAACAAGAGGTCACCCATTGAGATTGGAAGAAAGGCGTGTTTGCTTACAGCAAAGGAGAGAGTTATTTACAATAATAACAATAAAGATGTGGAATTCTCTTCCTAAAATATTTTTAAATAATGTCTGATTATTTTTTTTTTGCATAAACAGAACATTTAATGATATAATTAACATGTATGTAAACAGGTTGTTGATCCAATGAGAAATCCGACTGCAATTATGGAGTCAAGAAGGATTTTTAAAAATCTTTTTTGTGGCATAACTGGGAATGGCTACAATTGTTTTTGTTTTGCCTTCTTTTGGATCAACAACATGGGCTTCACGGTTGAACTTGATAGACTTCAGGTTATTTATTTATTTTTTTTTATTTTTTTTAAATTTAGACTGCTTTGTAACATGCCTCTAACACTGATTCACAACCAAGTCTTCAAGGCTACCACCGGTCCAGATTTGTCAGTAGAAGGGACCTGAACTGGATAATGCCAGACTATTAGTGTCCCTTGAGAAGTGAGCTGGGAATGACTGCTCTAACAGACAGTGTGTCAATATGATTGGTTGATGTAAATAGGTTATCCAACCTGTAAACAAACCTTCAGGGGTTATTGTTTTTCACCAAACTAAATTGTTGAGAATATAAAAGCCAAAAAGTTAAAGAAATTAGCAAATTATGCTTATTCTGAAAAATTCTCCAACTCCGTTATATTTATATTTGAGCCTCAATCTTGCCATTCAGATTTCAGTTCACTACAATGACAATAAATCCCTTTAATGACATCTGTTATAATGGACCATTTGCACAGAAAAGTTAGTCTTTTAACAAATAATATTACAAATGTATCCAGCCTGTCTGATGAAATTCATGAGTTTTGTATGTCATGTGCAAGACAATTGTGTTTCCTACTGACATTTTGTCTAACGTAATTTCCTCTGTATTTATTGTACTGAAACATAAAAGAAAAAAAAAAAAAGAAAAAAGGTGCAGCTGACCGTGGAAGGCAGCAATGCTTAATGTGCTGGTTAAATATGAAATAGGATTTAAAGGTTACTAGCAAAATAACACATCCTCTTCCAGGAAACTGGTAATTAGTCTTTGCAGTAATGCACAGGACAATTAGAGCAAAGTTTACCGAATATGCTTGCATGCACTGTAAATTACCACATACATCGCCTGCAACAATCAAAGTAAAAGGTAGAGGAGGTAGTGGAACTGCTAACTAAGCCAATCACAGCCGTACCTCGGCTGCTATTTACCTATTCACACACAGCCTGCTTCAGATTTGTGTGCAGCAGAGGAGCTCAGTGAGACTGCTCCCATGACATTTTTACTTTATCCAGGAGGAAGGCTTATAGCTGCAGTGATTAGGCGGTTGTTAGACACTCTGCACCATAACTTTGCATCACTGCATAGAGTGACCTCTTAACTACATTCAAATTTATGTGTTTACTTACTTAAAGGTCATTTTTGACAAAGTGAAATTGCACTTTGCCCAGCCATAGTAAGTTATTTTTAAGCATGTATAGACCATTTTCACACGAACTTAATGAAGCACGTGTCATTGACTATTCACAGAGTCTTTGACGAAAAGATTTGTGCCACAAACCATGTAAAGCACTTATGCAATAAGGAGGTCCAAAGTACAACAAATCCAACTTAAGTAGTCAAAATTATTTTTTAAACAGTTTGACCTACCTAGCGTACGCCAGACACCACACTGTCTCCATCATGAATGTCGGAGAGTCAAGAGATCCTAAGCAGGAACTTCAGTTAGCTCTGTTGAGCTAAGCCCTGCAACACATGGCACTGCAAAGCTTAACTCAGGAGAGCTAAATAAAGTTAATGTCTGTAGCAGAGGTGAGGAGCTGCGTCCGATAAACCCCCAGTAAAAGTCAAACCATTCAAAAACGGGTTGACCATTTACACTAGGAGGGAAGAGGGGTGCCAAGGCCCCAGAATTACTATAGCAAGCTAAAGTGGTAATTGGAATGTTCTTTTAACCCTGTGATATTTCTGAGAACAGGAAGGAAAAAGTAGAAATGAAGTGGGCAGATTATGTAATGTCTCACCCCGAGCTTCATCCTTCAGCCTCTGCACAGATTCCAAAAGATTTTCCTTTTCATCAAGCTCGCTTTCAAGGAATGCATTCCTCTCAATAGCCTGATTCATCCGCTGCTCAAAATCCTCCAATGACATTATTGTGGCTCTAGTGAAAGCAGAGGCATAGAATTAAAAACAATAATTTTACTCTCAGAGATATAGTAAACAATTGCCTAGTAATATATCACAAGATACACTGAAATGAAGAAGGCACTGTTCAAAAGTATCACACACCCTCAAATCTGAGATGTCTTAAAAGCAGCATAATGCACTTAAGCAGGGCAAAAACATGAACACACACACATATAATTATATATATATATATTATTTTTTTTATTTAAAAAAAAAAAAAAAAAAAGAGAAGTTATTTCAGGTCGAATACATTTTTTTTTCCATTTTAATTACCAAGTTGGGTAATTGCCAAAGCGGACAACCATTCCAACATCCAGTAACGGATCTGCACAGTCAGGCTTCATTTGTCTCCCTTCTAAGTCCATACTTCCACTTCACTGTCCATATAGGTGGCTTATTAACTTTGGTTTTGACCATAAAGAGCTTAAAAATGATCTTTAAATAAGCTTAATTATCACTACAAAAAAAATATTTTTTTTTAGATTTGTAACTCTGTTTATTAAAACATTCATTGTTAAAAATAAATAAACTTGACTGTTTGAAAGAGAAACCAAATAAAGATTTTTTTTTAGAAAAAAAAATAAAACAGTTCCTACATTTTACAGATTATAAAATATCTTGTTTTTGGTGCCTACCGAGTGCTCTGGCAAAACCGAGCTTAATCAAGGCTTTTAAAGGCCTAAACGTGACTCCTGCAGCTCCACACAAATGTGGCTAACAGAGGAATTGAGTGGGAGCCTGTGGAAACTTGAACCAAGTCTCTCTGTAGAGATTTACCACACTCCGCATTTGAGGCCTAGCATGGAAGGCGGCCTCGTGGCCGGGAGAGGCGGCCGATTTCCCAGCACGGGGACCGCATCGAGCAGCGACGAGCATGAGACCCCGCAACCCCCCCCTCTGGACCGGTGGGGGTCATCCCGGTCCCCGCTGGGCAAGGTGGCTCACCCGCAACAGACAAATCTTCTGCCAGAATTAAGAGCGCGAAACAAGGTTAAAATGGCCGCCGAGCCACAACTACCACAGCCTAAAGAGGACCTGACAATCCAAGCGTGGAGAGAACGCTTCGAGGCGCGGTTCGACCAGATCTGCGAGAAGTTCTGGCAGCGCCTATACACAGACCTCTCCTGCACGCCTTACCTGCTAAACAGGAGAAAGCGGCCGAATTAGAGGGCCACAGACCCGACTCTGGAACGGGCGCACACGGAAAAGCACGTCCCTCATGGCCCCAGAGTGGCTGGAAGTATGCCCAGCTAACGAACCGCACAGGGACCCGGGCCCAAATCAAGCGGAAAACAAAGACCCTTCGGGGCGGGAGACAGGCTCCCCTTCACTCCCGTGAGCGAAGTGATAACTCCGACTGGCGGTTTTGTGGCTCCGGTAGATCATGGGCTAAGAAAACAACCAGAACCAAGCCTGAACACAAATGGGCCATATGGAGCCTCATGGAGGGACAGCAACCACAAGTTTATCATGGACACAGCAAGTATTTACTAATGATACCTGAAACAGGCATAGGCTGACAGTCCCCCTACATGCAATTCATAGCCCTCAGTCGGTTTGCATTATTTCCTCTTATTTGCTTTAATTTGTATTCACTCTGGCGACATCAACATACCTGTCTCTTATCTTACCACCCAGTGGACTCTTGTCTCATGTAACACCAACCATAGTACCCAGCGGCTACCCTGCTGACAAATTAACTACAGTTTAGCGTGTTCCCTTATCTTGATATATTATACTCGACTACGTTATTGTTAATCCATATAGTATATCTCAAACAATTCTACTGTTTTCTTGTTAAGCAACACTATATGCATCACTATGTTTATCTTTAAAAATGTGCAGTACTACTACATGCCACAGTTTAACGCCTCTTGAAATGTCTGTATTTACTGTTGTGGCATGGCAAGCCTGTCTGTCAAACTTTTGCACAACAAAAATAAAGAATTAAAAAAATAAATAAATAAATAAATATATCCTGTTTTATAGGATTAGCAAACCTGTCAAAGGTAGAAATTTTTTCTCTCCCTGCCCTCTGTATACAGGTAATTAGAACCTATGGGCTTGCTTACTCCTGGACAGGTAGCACGACTTTTTTATATTTATATTAATTAAAATCCTCTCCTCAAAACACACCCATTTTAAAAAGGCTTGATAAAAAAACAAAAACAAAACAAAAAAAAAAAAGTACGAATGGTAAAACCACCCCCACAAAAAAATAAAGGTTGATGGTCTCTTCAGTTTTTCCATTCTTTGGGGGTTCCATGGCTTCAAAACATCCAGAACGTTACATCTCTAGAGAAGAAGGCCATATTGACGCTTTACAAATCTGTTACTCTGAAGCTTCAGAGGCCCAGGAGTAAGTCTTGTGGAGCTCTGATGAAATTAAAAATTATTTCACAAATCCAGTGGGCTAATTAGGATTTAGAAGCTTGTTTCCCTTTGGAAGTATCTTGGTAAAGTACAAACAGATTTGTGAAAGGCTTAGCCCTGGACAAATAACACATGTAGCCTTTTAGCGTCATCAGAAGGACTTTTATTATTCTACAGTAATACCTGGAAAGCTGGCAACAAATTGTCCAAGTTCAAAGTGGCAGAACTGATTATTTTAGGTCTGAACAAAACAAAAAAAAAAAAAAACCTTGTCTGGGTAGAAATGTAGTTACAAATCTTGTGATGCAAAAGCCTAATAAAGCCAGATAGAAGTTTAGGTCCAAAGGATGCACAACAGAACAAATGGATGGTCTGATGTTTAGAAAAATTTCTAACAAACTCTGCAATAAGTTGCTTAGAAGTCGGGATCGACTAATATTCTTCCAGAGCCGATGCCTTTAACGTCTTCTTTCGAGCCGATAACTGGTGCCGATATTCTGTACATTTAAAGTTTGGAAAAAGTAAAAGAATTTCCATTTAAATCTGGCATTTACTGAACATGCGGACAGCAATCACACTCTGATCACTTCCAGGCAGTCAGTACATGTTGGGATCACTGAGAACCCAGCATGTACAATGTTACTGATAAGAGTGTGATTGCCGATAGCTCTCATCTCTGTCAGCCAGCCCAGAACATTAAAGAAGAAGATTATTTACCGTCTCACCTCCCTGCTTTTAACGGAGCTCTAGGCATTTCATTGTGTGGCGGTTAGAGTTCACAGATGCATAAGTCAGCGTGCGGTGGCTGGGAGAGGCGAGTAAGTTATCGGTAAATTATAAGGCCGATACAGATACACTGCTGAATATGGGCTCTAATAAAATTGGTGCTCACAAGCCAAATTCCTAGTGTAAAATGAACTGAGGGCCGAAGTTTGCAGTCTTAAATTAGTGAATCTGAAGAAAGATCAAATTTTACTTGCCATAAAGTGATTTTTTCCTTAGGATTAGAGACAGTGCACAACAATAGAGAGATCCACCATGTCTTCACAAGAAAGGCAGGCAGGCACCATAGAATTTAAAAAGTTAAGTCCCTCCTAAAACTCCTCCTACTGTTTGGAGAAAGTTTGAATGGGTGACCAGGTAGCTGCTTTGTAAATCTGAGAAGGAGCAGCTGAAGCCTTAAATGTTTAGGGGGTAGCAATAACCCTTGTGGAATTAGCTTTTAATTGAAAATTAATTCGAATTTAGTTTAAAGAGGAGGAACAACACTGGATGACCTGTATGCAAGAACAATAGCTTCTTTAATCCATCTAGCCAATGAACACTTTGATGCCATGAGACCTTTCTTATGACCACGATAAAGCACAAAACAACCTACTGGAACAATGAAAATTACACTTTTTTTTTTTAAATATACTTTTAGAGTGTGAGTGACATTGATGCAATGGAATTTGTTTTTCCAAGTTCATTTTGCTGATGTAACAGCCACCAGAAAAATCTTTCCAGTTAAGGAATGCCTTCCATTTGTGAAATTAGACACTCCAGGGTATCCCATATGGTGTATAGTGTGCTTTAATTTGCTGCCATTCTACCACCAGTTTATGTCAAAGTTTGTTGTAAAAGATTTTTTGCATTTTGAAGATATTAAATTTATGCTGGGCATTTTGCAAATAGGATATGTTCCACGAAGATCTAAACCTCCAAATTATGCTCATCAAACTCTTTTGAATAAAACAATACCCCAGTGTATGCCTTGTTACAGTGCAATATAAGAGAACAGACTATTTCAGTTTTTACCTTCAGGATTTGTTTTATTACATGCCTACCTGTACCTTAGCTGAATGACATGACAGATATTTACCTTTTTGCCCTTTCCAAGTCATCATTGGCTTGCTCCAGTTCACGAATGTATTTCTGCAGCTGTTCGAGAACAGACTTTGTTTGAGAGAGTTCTGTTTCCAAAGTTGAAATCTGCATGTAGTTTTCAGAATGATGCTCTTCATACTTTTCCTGTCCAGAAAGGGAAACAAAGTTTGCCTTGAGATATCTGTATTATTTCAGACCGCATATTATTTTTTTTTTTTTGTTCATTAAAATCTGACTGCTAATTTACAATATTCTGAGGGGAAAAAAAAATCAATTGGAAAAAAGAAAATATCAGTTTTCTCAAGTTAGATCTTTGCTCAGCACACACATTGTCAAAAGAGGAAAGGTACAAGGTACACATTCATAAACCAAGGTGATTTGTTAGGAGAAAAGCAACATTTGAACATTTTTCCTATTTCTTATATGATAAATATAAGAAATAGGAAAAAGGACTCTCCAAAAGGACTCTCTTTTGGCTCGCCTGTTATTTCAGACAGTGTGAAGTCATGACTCCAGCTACTGGAGTATGTATTGCTTAAAACACACGATTGTTAAAGCTATTTGAATATGAAGAAGCCACTGGGCTAATTACCACAAAGACACCAAGCTCCAGCATTATACACAAGTCAACGCCGATTTATTAGCATGAACAACATCAACATGAGGAACTGCACCACAGGGGGAGCTAAAGCCCAATGATTTCAGACCCAGAGGTCCTTACTTTAGGACTATGTCATACCAGGCCGGCAGCAGTAACTTGGTATCCATCGGCCCATTTTGGTTCTTGTTAATAGGTTCTTCTGGTTTTTTTTTTCCCCTACAGTTAAACTGACCCAAGGAATATTTTGTGGAAGAGGGATATGTTACACAGCTGGATCGGCCATTTTGGCTCCCAGTTCTATGTATTAGAAGATATGGACAATAGAGTACGATGTCGGATAAAATACAGTAATATAACATGCTAGTCCCTTAAAGTGACTGTCAACATCCCCCAACATAAGGTATTAGGCATTTTATAAAAGCTTTATGACATACTATTGACGGTGTTGGAATTTGACAGAAGTGAAGGAATTTTAGACAGAAAATTACAAAAGTAATAGAACACAAGTGGGGACTATTTTGTCTTATGCATTCTTCCTACACTTCAAAAAACTTGGCTGTGAGGAAAAAGGCATTGTTTGTAGAGGCTACCAGAGTGTCCAAGGATCTGTGCTGTACGCTCACACATGCGATCCTCCTTAGCCAACAGTGATGGCTATGGAGGGTTGGATGTGTTAAGAGTACAGCACTGATGTGGGCTCCTGGCAGATGAGAATTCCCTGGATGGAGGCGGCAGCTACCGCGAGAGATAGCATCAAGTAAATAAAACCTACCTTCCACTGCACCCTCGGGCCACCGTACAGCAAGCAGTGACGTTATCATCCGGGGTCTTTGCAAAAAAATATTCAAAGACCATAGAACTGATACACATAAATTAGCATGTTGTGATTTTGTGAACTTAAGCTGTTGGCTATGGAAAAGGTGGTGTAAAATAAGCAGAAGTTACTTCTTCTAAAAATAGTTTTGAAACAGGAACGACTATTGCAAAATTTACATGCATCTAAAAACAAACAAGTGAAGAGAAAACATGCAATGTTCTATCCAATATTGGACTCTATAAGAAAATAAAAATTTAATACAAATAAATTAATTGTTAGATTTTAGTTTTATATCACTGATGCTTTTGAATTACAAAAGAAAGAAATACACAGCACCACATTTATATTTGTGAGTAAACAGCTAAAGTGGTTATTTTACAATACAAATAAATCCTGCAAAATTCAAAGTTGTGCAAACGTCGCGCATTAAATGTCAGAAGGATGACAGCTTTGGGTAAATACATTTAACAGGCTCAAGGTTTTAAGTTCTCACTAATGGAGATTATAATAAGGCCAAGAAGAGTCTAGCACAGCTATGTCATGCCATTGTTCACCGACAGCTGCTACTGACAGCCAGCTGGTGTGATCATGAATTGATCCACAGTCTAACAATTTGCATAATTGTACAGATGTAAAAACAGGAGTTAATCTTAAAGATATAGCACACAAGAAAAAGTATATATTTTTTATATTGGGTTTTATGTGCACCGTAAAACAATTTGTAAATGGCAGAATGAAGAGTTGCAAATGTGTCTCATTTGGTTCCCACATGGACATTTTTAGTCATATTGTACAAGCCCAGATTAGGGACATACCAATATAATTTTTCTAGAGCAGATGCCGATACGAATTATTGGTCACCTTTCAGGCAGATTGCCGATATTCTGCACATTGAAAGTTTTGAAAAAAGTTAAAATCTTTAGACAAATCTGGCACTGACTGAACATGCCGACAGCAATTACACTCCAATCACCGTCAGCCAGCCCAGTACATTACAGTGGAGGATTCATTGTCTCACCTGCCTGCCTTCAGCTGAGCTCCCCATGCGGGAACTCACTGAAAGAGGCTAAATAAGGTCAAAACATGGCACATCACTGGCTGGAGACTAGAGTTTCCAGATGCTGAAGACAGCATGTGGTGAATGGGAGAGGTAAGCAAGTTATCAGTAATATTGGTAAATTACAATGCTGATAATCGGTCTATTCCTAGCCGTAGCAAAATATGTGGTCAGACAAATCATGTTTTATAGTTCTAGACATTGTTCATTTATACCTCAAATATATCTCAAAAACAAAAAAAACAAAAATTCTGTCAAATTTGGAAAAGGGGATTACAGAAAGTAAATCGTAACAGGGCAAGGGTGTGGGGACTGTGTATACTGCCCCCACCCCAGCTCAAAAATAAAATAACCACACTATTTAGGCCACCAACCTCCCTTAAAATAAAAAAATATATATATTATTTCAGCATTGCGCGGGTCCCCAGCCCAGCCTCTTTGGCTGAGATCATCAGAATTGATGAGCTCAGTTAATCCAATGCTTTCCCATAGCCATCGGATTGGCTGACATTGCCAATTCTGATGATCTCAGGTAAGGAGACAGAGCCTGGTGGTGAGCCATATGCCGCTCTGGCCAATCAGCATCTCCTCATAGATATGCATTGAATTAATGTATCTCCATGAGGAATATTCAGCATCTCCATGAGGAGTGTGGAAACACTGAACGTCAGTGCTACACAAGCCAGGAAGCACCTTGAGTGTCTTAGTGACTGCCACTGGAGGTGTGCTTAGGTGCCTTTTCTCTTAAAAGACAGTATTTACAGCAAAAATACCCGCAGGGACGGTCTACAGACACCAAAACAACTACATTAAGCTTAGTTGTTCTGACATCATACAACCAAATTTACAGTAACAAATGTACAAAGACAAAAAAAAAAAAAACATAATTCCTGGAAACAAATGTGAATATATTGCCATTGATAGTTTGGATTAACAAAAAAAAAAAAAACCCATACACATTTAATAAACTAGGATGTAAAATTAGACATAAAAATATCACAAGACCCCTGATGCGCTGGTACCATACTCCGCTAAAACATAAGCAAATGGGACTATCCACCTCAGATAGATGCTGGAAGGGGTGCGGCCAAAAGGGAACGTACTACCACATGTGGTGGGAATGCCCCCACATTGCACAAATCTGGACCGACATAGCGGCCCTGGCCTCCAGAGTCCTTCATGACACCATCCCAAGAGACCCGTGGTTATGGTTGCTATCCAAACCGCTGGTCGGTACACCACGGGCTCATAACAAACTACTAGCCAAACTAGCCTTGGCAACAAGGAGAGCCATAGCCTCCCATTGGGGCTCACCCACAGTCCCGTCACTCACTGACATAAAGAAAAGAATTAACGAAGCCAGGGCAATGGACAGTTTATCTGCACTCATTCATGACACCACAATGCATTGTGACAAAATATGGGATCTGTGGCTCATGGAACCCACCACAGCCACATAAGACACCCAAAAACAAAAAAGGGGCAACCAACCACGACAGGAATCACGCATAAACACACAATCCATAAGGGCCAAAACGTCAGTGTCCGAGACAGGTCCACAATGTAATACGCAACTCCGAAAAACCACACAACCCACAAATCAGGGACACCTTCTCACCCCCACCCAACCCCCCCACAACCCCAGCAGAAACCCCACATCGTGGATTCCCCATTCCACACTCCATCCCGGAACTGAACTTAACCCACTCTCGCCCCTTAACTTGCAGTTCCGAATCCACGTACCATACCAAAGAAACTCGATCTTAGGTTCAAACTTGTTAATATTTGTTTGGTTATGTTTTGAATTGTTTAAATGTATGGAAAAATCGACAGAACAGAATCGTATATGAGAAAATAATGTTGCGTTAGCAGTACACTACTCTACTGGTATATACCTCTCTGTATCACAATGCATTACTACACTGTTTATCTTTTGGCTTTTGCACAAGCCCACACATTACCTTCTGTCCAACATCTGTACACTTACTATCTCTGTCAACCGGAAAATAAAGAATTAAAAAAAAAAAAAAATATCACAAGACTTTAATAAATCCCTCCAAAGTAACTTGCTTACCTTAATGGACTCTAGCTCCATTCGCAATCGGTTATTTTCGGAGATGATGTCTCTGTTTCTGCCTTCTGTTTGTTGAAGCTGGGCTTCTAACTCCGCTTCATATTCACGACTGGCCTCCTGAAATTCTTGCAGCTCTTCCTGTGCATCCTCAGAGCTAGGAAACGAAAAAAAAAAAAAAAAAGTGTAAAAATTTAAAAATTACAGGTATAACCTCTGCATGCATTATTTCGTAACATATACATATCAGTACAGATCGCTTTAAAGTGCATTTTTTTTCAATTTGTATTTTATTAGAGTTTAAATACTCAAAAAAACAGCATTGCCACAGTATGCAATTAAGAACAATGTGACATCAACATTAAACAACTTTAAGAAGCTGCCAAAATGGCTGTGTCAGATAGTTGTGTATAAAGACTATGTGCAAACGGCAGTAGAAACAATCTACAGGAACTGTTCATATATGTGCAGCAACACTGTTGAATCAGGAAGGTCAGCTGTTGTAGTGAGCTTGACGTCTGCGGGAGACCCAGAGAGAGTGTGGCACATTGTGGCATAGCCCAAGAGTGTCTCTTTGGCAAAGTTGGCACATGTAAGCCTTTCTCCGGTAATTGGGTGCTTTTGGGCTGACGCTGTATGTGATTGCTTTCATCCCTGGATTCCCCTGTGTCTATCTTGCAGGTTCAGCTGCCAGAGAGAGAGAAAAAAAAATATAATAAAAAAAAATAATAATACACTTTTGGTCATCTGTGGAGGACAAGATAAGTGTCTGGTCTTCCTGTGGTACCGCCAGGGATCCATTCGCACCCCACCGGTATCTGATTCCAACGTCCCTCAGTCGTTTGGCTATTTGTGTCAGCTGTCGCTGTTCCACAAGTGCTGCGAGCAGGAGATCCCCATAGAGGGCCACTGTGCTACCCTCCATTTGCACTGTGCCAGAGTCTCTGGAGCGGGACATGATAGCGGAGCGGGTTGCCACATCTTTTGTGATAGATGTAGTGTCTCTGGGTGCGTCCTCGGGAGCTGTTGCAGCTTTACGGATTCTGAACGCGGAAAGTATCATGCTTGGCTCAGCTTCCCCTTTGATGCCCATTACGGATAATAGGCGGTGGATGTAGGGAAGCAGGGCCTCCCCTCCAATACTTTATGGTATCCCTCGGAGGCGGACATTCCGCCGTCTGTGCCATGCTTCCATTGTTGTGACAGTCCGTGTGAGCTTTTGTACTTGGCAAGGTAAGAGCCTGCATAGAGTCTTGGGAGTGCTGTAGTTGGTGCTCCCTTGCACCTTACCTCGTCTACACTGCTGTTAGCCGCTGTTGGAAGTTCCCCACTTCTTTCTGAGTGCTCAGTAGGTCAGCCTTCCACACTTCCCCCATTTCTGCCGAGAGGTTTTGAATATCCAGCTTAGTCACTGGGGAAGAGTCCTCCCCCGATTCGGAGACCTGGTAACGGGTCTCTGTGTCTGCTGGAGACTAGGTAAGACTCTCCCCCATCCCCATGGGAGTCCTTTTCTTCACTGGGTGCCTCGGGCACCATTCTGACAGGAGCCGGTGGATTAGGCCTCACAAACTAGAGCAGAATAACTGACATTCTGGGTGTCTCTGGGAGAGGGAAATTTTTTAATTTTGGGCCCCATTGACGTCTGTGTGTGGCCGCTGTTGGGCACAGTTTGTCGGGTTTTTAGTCTATTTTATCGGTCGCTTGTACGGAGCTCCTCAGAAACGTGTCTGCCTGTGATTGAAAACAGTTTAACACAAAAAAATAAATAAAAAAACACCTGTGCAGTATTCATAAAACTAGGAATGCTGGAAAAGCGCATTGGGTATGACTGACAGATTTACACATGTGCAGTTGGAAGATCCTTTCACCATGGAATATCCTGATGGGGAGAAGAGATCATGCAGAGCATGCTCTGATGTTGGGTTTTTCTCTCCTACTGCTGCACAGTGATCCCTCCTTGTCATTAGTGGTCTGGTCTGAAACAAATAGGTTTGTAAGAAGGGCGGGGGAGGCTGAAGAAACACCCCTAACTGAGAAGGCATGCCCAAACACGCCATTCTGATCAAGTTTATACATAAATATATATATTTTAATATACTTTTACCAATTTTCTTGCTTTATTTTGGGTTTTATATTGGTTTTAAAAGTGATTGCTGGTTTAAAAAAAAAAAAAAAAAAAAGTCAGGATTCTTTAAGTTATTTAAAGGGTTTCACCGCCACTAAAGGCCGCTGTAATGGTTATGATGCCAGGGGTTACCCTGACAAAGTCAGCCTGTAATGAGGCAAACGTTTATAGCACGTGTGCTCCCTGCTGGGTTCCGATGCTCTGCGGTGTTCAGTGGTGTGCTTCTGGCTTCAGCTGAGCTGCAGGAGCTGGGGCAGTCGACATTCATTGGCTATGGGTGTCAGCTGACTGCTCTCAGTCAATGACTGTCTTATGTCTGACATTAGCAAGTCCGGAACTTTAGTTCTATGCAGGCTGATGACACCATTATGATGCTGCCGGAGGTAAAGTTACACATACGGCAGCAGGGAGACGAATGTGCTACATTGTAAGGTGAAACTCTGCACAGACAGACTCCAGGCACCACGACAACTTCAAATCACTGAAGAGGTCATGGTGCTTGGAGTAACCTCGGACACTATAGGTTCCAAAATAACTTTTAGCTTAATGAAGCTGTTTTGGTGTATAAATCATTCCCCTGCAGTCTCACGGGTCAATTCTTTGCCATTTTAGAAGTTAAATTACTTTTCCATAGTCACACTTCACTGCATGTGACTTGTAAAGCCTTTGTAAACATGTCCTGAAAAGGAACCTGGATATTTTTTCATTTTTTTTCTTATATATGGTATCAAACACGTAATACACATAAAATCATAGCTTTCACATATTTTGTAAATACTGGTAGACTTACATTGGTAAACTTGATATCGCTTAAACTGAGGCAAATATAAACAACCTGGTTTTAAAGGTCAATCAAAACATGGGTATTCTCCCTATTTTGGTTGCCCCTTGCCCAATGCACCTCCATCCACTCTTCAGAATATCCATACACACATTCACATGGCAAGGGACATAATATACCTCTAAAGAGGAACCTGGATATTTTAAGTTCCTTTATTGCACTGACTGTTTAATCAATAACTTCTTATCTTCTGCACCTTAGTCTTCTAGAAACAGCAGGAGGCTCCACTATGTGTTTAGAGTGCAATTTACAAAAGCAGCAGATAAAACTTCTAAAGCAAGTTAACATCTGATTGAAAATCAAACCAATTTTCCCTGCAAGCTGTGCTAGTCACAGTCATGGTAGGTGTGGCTAGGGCTAAATAGACTGAACAGTGAGACTGCAGAGGCAGAATTTTTACATCTAAACTGCTTCATTAAGCTAAAGTTGTTTTGATGCCTATAGTATACCTTTAAGTATTTATTACACTATACACACACACACACACACACACACGATGCAATTAAACAACACTTTTCAGTAAAAATAAAATAAATTTTACTTAAAGGAAGTGTTGATGCTTGGTGTTTAGTGTGTCCCTTTAAATCAAAAAGCTTTACATGTTACACAGAGAGAACTCTTAATTCAAAAGATAACTTACCATTTCCTGTATTTCATAGCCAGACTTTTCCAGTATTGTCTTTCTTCATCCGCACACGTGAAATTGGTTCTTTCTAAGTCATCCATGATGTTAATTCCATTAGAGCTTTGATGTTCATGGACCAGAAACTGCAGAAAGACAGGTTTGATAAACATTGCTCTAGTCAAATAATTTTGGTCTTGAATGAAATACTGAAATACCTTCACCCAAAGAAATAACCAAAACAGTTATTCATTATTTATTAAAGGAGCACTCTAATGTAAGAAATACAGTTTCTAACGTTCTATGTACTTCTGGGATGGCTAGATTCAAAAGCCCCACGGAAATATTAAAATGGTGATAATACTTTCTTTGACCATTAAAAGGCCCATACAGAAATGCCTTTATGAAAATGGTGTGAAAGAACATGCTTGACCCGCATGGAGAACGGATTCTACCCCCATAAACCCACTTTGGGATAAAATGGAATGGTGAATGCTAATCCCCATCATCGAAGAGCTGAAATCAGTGCCATTAAATGAACATTAACACCATAACCACTATATTGTGCTGTAGTGGTTATGGTGCCAGAGGTGAGCTGGCACCTTCCCTTCCATTGTGAGTAGTCATTTAGGAATAGTTTGACTTCCTACCTTGGGGTTGTTGGGCACCCCTCCACTACAGCTGGTGCAGGGCTTCGCTCACTGGCTCTTCTTGCCGCAAAAAGGAGGAGGGATGCGTTGCATGCCAGACCCCAGTGAATTAGTCAAACGGTCTTAAAAACAGTTTGACGTCATACAACGGAGGAGCGCCAATGCACTCCTGGTACCACAAGCAGGGCATTGCACTGATATTTGGAGTGTGCCTTTAATTCAAATATCAGAGAGGAATGTTATTCATTACATCCGGACACAGTAAATAAGTAGTAGTTATTCAACAGTATTAGTGCAAACACATTTGTGTACACACGTCTGGCCTTTGTAGCTAGCTCTGCAAGAAGGTTTATGCTCTGTACATATTACCACACATAAGCTATTATGTTTGCAACTATGCAGATCAGCTCTGCCAAACACTTCTGCCATACACAATGTGTTGACGTATCCAGGTTGTACGGAAGACAAAAATCTTACCCCCTGCATAGTACATTTACACAATAATAGATGTCAAAGAGATCAGCTAGAGCGAAAACATCTTTTACGACTTTAGGCTTGGCAAAGTATTGAGTGTCAATAGGATTACAGACTAATCTTAGAATTTCGATCAATTTAATAGATTATACACAAGCACCATACGCAAAGCTAAAGTACTCCCCACACATGCCTTTTATACATTTAATGCCAATATAAAAACTAAAAGGAATAAAAGTAAATAAATGGGAAAAACGAAATCCTACCGATTATAATGCTACTATAAAAAGAGTGCTAAATTCCTATTCCATGTGATAAAAAAGTGAATGTTAATTTGGAAGAATCATGCGTTCACAAGCAACAGAAAACATTACTGTGTATATCTGTCAACATTCTAAATTAGAACACAGAGTTTGCTACAGTATGAAAACCGTTGTACAACATATGGTTTGTAGAAAATACCCTGCAATTAATGTTTAATGCAGAGGATGAGCAGAACACATCTCCCTGATTAAATAGGCCCAATAGAGACATAGATATTTCCCTTTACATACATTATCACTGCATGCTGACATAAAGTGCAGTTCAGTAGTAACCATGCAGCAGTCACAAGATGGTAATTAGATACTGCATAATACCTAGTAACACTTTGCATGCACTCCCCATTAATCCTATTAAAGTTCTATATTATTTATACATACCAACTGAAGGCATCAAAATAAAACATAAAAAAATAATAAAAAAATTCACGCTTAGCATTGGGAACCCTTGGTGGGAGGCTAGTGTATACTTTAGTGATGGCTAACCCCTGGAAAACCTGTTGTTGTGTGCTACATTCCCCATAATGCTAGGCAAAGCCAAATGGCTGGCTGAGCATGATAGGAAAAGGAGTTAAAGCCAGAATGGCTATGTCCAACATCCTGTGTGTTCAGGTTTGATTCTGGCTCGTTATTAAACAGTAACTAAAGCCAGCAATGTGATAAACGCCATGCCATGATGGTTGCTATGTACTTACTGACCATCCCTGATCTATAGTCCCTGCACACTGCATTATCTGGGACCTATTTCCTCTTTATGTGTGCTTCCGCCGTGCGTATCAAGTTCCGGACAGGAGTAATACCTTACCTTCTATTACTGCCCCCCAAACACCTTCCACCGAAAGCCTCCGCCGCGGCTACTGAACGGCCACCATCAACCGACTAACTGCCTCAGCGCTGCCACCACCACCACAGCAGCGACAGTCAAACTTAAACTTCCCAGGCCACCGATTGGCTGGTTTGTTCAATGACGTGATGCACTAACCAACCCCGTAACGCTGGGGGCGTGGCAAGGAAGGCGGAAAACGGTCCAGTTTTTTTTTTTTTCCAACTCAACTTTATTGAAAACCACAGCTACACGCACAATTTGCAATTGTTTTAATGTATCTGTTATGGATAAAGTAACAGCCCCATTGTTATTAGCTCTATGTTTGTGACAAATTAAATCCTGATCACAGAGCTTTATCGTGTTCCCATAGGAAATGTTACTTTTACAGATATAGTGACTGAGTGGGAAACCAAAAGTGATCTATTTGTTGTGATTTTACCCTTCATGCTTGTATGTATTGTAAAGAGACACTCCAGGCATCAAAACAACTTTCTCATTATTAGCATTATGCTATTTGCAATTCCTGTATTTGGGTTTTAGATACACAGCTGTAAGCACAGATGCCCTATATGTACAGAGAGATGTCTGAACATGTACACGCTAGCCATGGGGTGCCCGAAAGGCAGAGCCCTAGATTTTTAAAAACTACAGCTTTCGTGATGCTTTGTCATTCTAAAGACATGCAAATCATCACGTGAGTGTTCTACACTTGTTTTTTTTTTTACTTACCTTAACTATGTTATTCACCAGGTAAAGGTCTGGCTTTTTTTTTACCTTGCACTCACATTGGCATTTTTATGCACATTATGCACTTCTTACTCTAATACCCTTTTCTTTATCCTGTCCCTCCTTTTAGTTAGATTTACAGGGAAAGAGACTGGTCAAGTAGAATGTCAGTTATTTATCACCCACAGCCGAGGTTTCTATTTTTCTCTGCGCAACAATCTTTTGCACTCACAAGATATAGATGATAAAAGCGCTCTTAGGGTGCCTCCCCTGGAATAATGGGGGGCTGGTTGGTATTGCTTGTCACCTCTGGATCCTCGTTCCACCAAAAAGACATCCACAGGTCAGGGTTCAGCAATAAAAAATTTATTTAAATAAAAAGTGTAGTCACCATATTCAGCATAGGATACAAATAGCATAAAATAGTCCTACGCGTTTCGTTCAGCAAGAACTTCCTCAGGGACCACAAATAAAAGTAATTATCATGTATCAATACACATAAATAAACATATCCTATACAAACCCCCCCCTCCCTGTGTCCTTAAATAGGGCTAATCCCTAGAGTCCATTGGTGGATTCAGTGGGAGTGTAAATCCTTCCTGTTTTTGATTGGAGGAATAATCTCACTAAGCAGCTGTTATTCATTCATTAATTTCATAATGCGCGCTTTTTTTCCGGCTTATACCGGGGATATTCTATTTCGCCGAAACTGGAAGTGACGTCACGGTTGCTTCCGCGTTCCAAATGCGTTCCACACATAACGTTCCCATAGCAACCAAGCGTGATCGAGCTGTTCAAAGATCACCCATAGCCAAGGGAGAATTAACCCATACTCTACTAAGGTAAAGATTATTAGACATATGCACTGCAAAGCAATTAATCATTAATCACTATTCACATCTAATATATATAAAGTAGCATCCTCCTATAGTGTTATCATTAGAATTTAATAATAATAAAAATAACAGTATTAGATCATAATAACATTAATCCTTATTCTACCAATACTAATAATATCTCAAAACATTATAAGTAAAAAGACTTAACCCCTTCCCGACCGAGGACGGTTCAGGACCGTCATCGGGATTTTCCCATTGCGGACCGATGACGGTCCTGAACCGTCCTAACGGTTTCCGTTACTTACCCGATCGCCGTCGTTCCCCCGGCGGCGATCAGCGTTGCTCCGGTTGTGGGGAGACTGCCTGCAGCCCGGACAGTCTCCCCACACTGATTTAGGACCCCTGTGGCCATGTGATCGCTTAACACAGCGATCACATGGTCACAATAGGTGTCCATGTGTCTGCCTGCAGGGGGACTGTCTGTGCTGACAGGCAGTCTCCCTGCATGTGTAAAATAAAAATAAATAAAAAGTTAATGTTAATTAAAAATAAAAAAAATTATATATGTGTATATATATATATATGATATATAGACATATATTATATACATATAATATATGTCTATATATCATATATATAATATCATACTAAGTGTATTTTTATATTAATATGTACTTATATTAATATAAAAATACACTTATAATTAAATTACACACGTATATATATAATATATATAATAACTATATAGATTGTATATATATATTATTATAAAATATAAATAATAAGTAATTTAAATTAAATAATTTTTTTAAAAATAATAAAAAAAATTTAAAAAATTATATAGCTATATGAAATTTTATTCTAACTGTATTTTAAAATTAATATATATATATTTATATCAAAATACACTTAGAATGAATTTGTATATATATCTATATATATAAAAATAAATAAAAATAATACGAAATATACATATGTCCATATACAAAATTACATAAATAATTATATAAATATACACGTAGACTTCAAATATATAAATATGCATATATATTTAAATTCTATGTGCGTATTTATGTAATATTTTACATAATTCAGTAATTTTATTGATTGCAATTTGAGGGACCTGCCTGCCCACCCAGGCCGAAATTCCAGAGAATTTAATTTGCTAGCACTGTATTTTACCCTGTAACGTTCTACGACACCCTAAAACCTGTACATGGGGGGTACTGTTTTACTCGGGAGACTTCGCTGAACACAAATATTGGTGAT